CGGCCCTGGACACGCCACTTCCATTCCATTCCCGCCCCTGTGGCATGGGGATAGTGATCGTCTCCCCCGCTGCCAAGTGCCTGGAGATCCAAGGGAGCTTCTTCAGTGCTGGGGAAACCGGGCTGCGACACTCACTAGCTACAACAAGCAAAACCAGTCAGGCATCTTTGGCTACTCAGATTAAGCGAAATGCAGAAGAAAGACACTAGCAGCCTCCAGAGGGAGACGTCGATGTACTATTAGATTGTGTGTTACAATAGCACAAGGGGGCCCCAGCTGAGATCACGGCCTCCGTGCACTAGGCGCTGTACGTTCCCACACCAGAGGAATGTCTAGAGTACATGGCTCCGTCAATGGAGCCATGTAAACTAGTTTACCCAACATAATCAATGAAGCGGGGATTTAAATAATCCCCGCTTCATTAAAATAAAAATGGCCGCCTTGCTGTGCCGACAATCAGCTGATCCGGCATCGCGCGCCAGTCTAGACACAGATCAGTCGACAAGGGAAGCCTTTGTTGACCGCGCCTGTAAACCTCGTTTCACGAGGCAGAAGGGAGCAGTCGACAAAGGCTTCCCCTGTCGACCGATCTGTGTCTAGACTGCCATGCTGTGCCAGATCAGCTGATTGTCGGCACAGCATGGTGGCCATTTTTATTTTAATGAAGCGGGGATTATTTAAATCCCCGCTTCATTGACTATGTCGGGTAAACTAGTTTACATGGCTCCGTCGATGGAGCCATGTACTCTAGACACACCCCAGGAGAGGCTGTCTCTGTCCCAGTGGGCTTACAGCCTACAGAGGTAAGACTGGCAAAGGGTGGGAAGGAAAACAGAGGCGCCCAGAGTGGAAGTGACTTGGCCAAGTTTGGCCGTCGAAATCCCTTTGGGTTCAGCAATCACTGGAGTTTTTAGCCACACAGATTTTTATCTCCCTTCTCCCCCTCAGATTTCTATCCATTTAAATTAAAAACATCAATTAAAAACCACCCCATAGCCTTGTGAGCCCCAAACTCCTGGCTTGTTAGAAAGACTGATTCATTGCTGGCTGGCCTCCCCGACACTCCACCCTGGCCACGGTGACCCCACAGTTACAGTCTGTTCTCACCACTGAAGAGCCAGTGGGGGAAAGCCCATGCAAATCCAACAGCACGATCCAGATGTCAGGCCAAAAGGCAGCTCTGGATGTGGTGTGTGCACCAGCCAATTCCCTTTTTTCAGTGACTCAGGAGGCCAGTGACCACACTGGGAGACCAGTGCTCTTCTTGGCTGTGTCAGCAGCAGCTCTCCAAAAAGCACAGGCTTAAAAAAGGAGAGTTTAACACTGCCCTTTGCTGGCTCACGCTAGAATTGCACAGTGTGCGGCCAGCAGGCAGAGCTCCCCCTTTAGCTCAAATGGCTGGGGGCTGTGTGACTCTGGATTTGATCCCTGCTGTGGCTATGAAGTTCCCCGTGACCATGATGTACAGCAGAGATCCAGCCGTGATGTCGTAGGTGGCTACTGAACTGTTGTCTAGCATACAGCTGAGTGTCTGTCTGTTCAGAAACTTCTCCTAAACAGGAGGCGCTAGGACCGCCACGTTTGCTACTCCACTTCCTTTTCTCCTCAGGTAAAGCAAGGTCGGGGGTCGGTTGTGCCAGGATAAGGGGATGTGCCTGGAATGGGATTGTTTCTCCTCCTCCCAGTCAGAAAGAATCACAAGGCAGGTGAAAGGGGTTTGCTGGGGGCGCCCCCCCTGCTGTGGAACTACCCCAGCCCCAAGCCTCCCACACCCTTTGCCCCTTAGGGAAGGCAGGGGGGGCTGAAGCCCCTCCCCGTTCCTATGGGGACATTGCTGACTGTTCCCCTTTGTCAGGGAGCCAGCAGAAAGGGCAGAGTTTGCTGCATTCCTCACTCTGGCTGGGGAGCGCAAGGGGCAGACAAACCTGGAACTGCCCCAGCCGGGGGACGTGCACCCCTCCCCTGGCAGTGCCCACTGAAGCTGCAGTCACCATGCAGAGGCGCTGCTCACCTGGCCCATAGTTAGGGCTGCCAGGAAGACCCTGCCAAAAAACTGGACACACTTGATCATGGGCAGGAGGGAAGGGCGGTTGGGGGCTGCGGGGCTGGGCAGGAGGAAGGGGGGGGACAGGA